ATTTGGAATAAGTGATTTGGTAGACACCCTGTTTCATCATTCAGTGAGCAACGTCATCTAGCACTATACAGCGAGGGTTGAATGAATCTAAAAAATTTTACTTAGAACGAAAAAATTAGTTTTGCATGCTGTGCCACTGAAATTTTGATATTGATTAATTGAAAATTCAAGTTCATCTAGCTGAACCTATACGTTGATAGCACTGTCTGAGCATGCGAAACAAACTTTTACACTTTATTTAAAGTACGATAGATTCATTTGGTCATCGCAGTAGACAGTTTCGGCAAAGTGTGTGATAATTTAGAGGTATGTACTCGCACAATCCGGTATGCCAGCGTGATCGTTGAATGCAACACGCAAAACAAACTAAAGGTACTTCCTGTGGGCATAACGCGAGTGATGTCTCATCTGCACAGCCTCTGGACTCGTTGCTGGGTTTCGCGTCTCACAGCTGCATCAAGGAGCTCAGTATTTTTTTAAGGGCGAACCAATGAAGCCTCACCCTTGTAAACAAAGCAAATAAATCACCATAGACATCCTCACTGCAGAGTGTCAGCTGCTTTTCGACCTTCTCATAAAGAGTGATGCACAACGCCTTCCCCAACGCCTTCTTTCAAAACAAAACTGTCAATTGACGCCACAAAAACCTTCTCACAAGCTTGAACGAAAGAAACAAAGCAAGGTGAGGGGACCGAGAGGCTTCCAAAGTCTCCTTCAGCCGTTCCTTTCACACTCAAATACAACAACACTTGACTGTCATCAGAAAAAGTGGCATTCTTGATTTGCAATTCACATTGCTGAGTCACGTTTTGACATGTGTGATATTTGACAAACGTTGTTACAAGCCATCCAGCAAAGTAAACCATGTTGTTAAGTGATAATAAAGTGGGATAACTACAGGATGTGAGGTTAGCTGCACATTGTGGAAGTGAGCTTCCTAGACTAAGTGAAGCTGAGGGAGCTGAGAAACCAACCGGAAAAGCCGCTAAAAGAGTTGCCATGTCCTCATCGCAGTTGCTCTTGTCAGACAGTTTAAACAAGTTTCTAACTAGGAGATGTCTAAAGGCTGCCTGAAACTGCCGGCAAGAGGAATTGGCGTTCGCACCAGACTTTGACCTTATTACGGAGAATGTGTTTTCGAGTGCATCTTGGTTGAGATGGCGAGTCAGGAGGTATCTGAAACCATCTTATATTTAATTATTGCTGGTGACTTGAACATAGATATTATCAATGCAGCCAGGTTCGGTGTGTCTGACTACCTGAATCTACTTGCAGGCTACGGGTTAGAACATGTAATTAATGATTACACTAGAGAAGAATGTTTAGGAACGCGCCTTACGCGTTCCTGTATTGATCATATCATTGTTAGAGGCAGCGATCTCAAGTTAATTTCAGGGGTGATTAAGCAAAAAGTTGCCGATCACTATTTTGTAGCGCTGACTATATTGGGAGTAAATTCTGGGGTAAAAGAACAGACGGTCTATAAACGCATTCTAGACAATAGCAGAATAGACAAAATGATAAGTGCATATAATTGGGGGTCACTATTGGAATACGACCATATTACTGCTTATCAAAGGTTCAGTGACAAGATGGGGTCCATTTATCAGCAGTGTTGGAAAACAGTGAAACTGAAACAAAGAAAACCAGATAATGTATGGATAAATGATGAAATCATGACGTTATGTCATGAAAAAGATAGGTTATGGAATATATGTAGGGGAAACCCAGACAATACTCAAATAAGAGCAGAATTTCGAAAGTTACGTAATAAGGTAACCGCGAAAATAAGACTAGCAAAAAAGTTTTATTACACTAATAGATTTCAGAAGTGCCAGGGAAACCCAAAGAAGACGTGGGACTTGATCAACCTCATCACCGGCTCAAAAAGGAAGCGAACAATTGATGAAACAATTGAAAAGGCTTTTGGAGGTAACGACATGGTCTCATTGTGTAATTTATTTAACGAATCTTTTACTCAAAGGGTAACTGATCTTAGAAAAAGGATAAAATATCAAAGGGGAGGACGAGAGGATTACGACGGTAGTTTGCACTCTGCATACTTACCACAGATGACAGAAATAGACCTTGAAGATGTAATTAAAAATATGTCACTGACAAAACCTGCGGGGATTGATAAATACGCTTAAGGGATATTCAACATAATTTTTGTAAGCTAAAAGTAGTTTTATTAAAAATAATAAACGACAGTTTTTTAACGGGGCATGTCCCGATAGAGTTAAAAACCGCTATAGTTAGACCGTTACACAAAAATGGCGACAGAAAGGACGTTTCAAATTACAGACCTATTTCTATATTACCAGTTATTGCACAGATTATGGAAAAATGGATATTCAATGTAATGACTGCATATTGTGAAAAGTATGATTTAATACGCTCATCCCAGTACGGATTTCGTAAGAATAAGAGCACTGAACTTTTGCTGCAAGATTTTACAGATTATGTCAGTTTCAGTCTAGACAAGAATCATTTTGCGTTAGCCCTTTTTCTCGATTTGACAAAAGCTTTTGGAACAATCGATCATGAAAAACTTTTGTTAAAGCTAAGAAATATGGGTTTTAGGGGGCCTTTCGATACATTTTTGCAGGATTACATTACAGATAGATATCAACTGGTTAAAATAAGAGACTGTAGAAGTAATGTAATACGAATTAAATCGGGAGTACCACAGGGATCAACAATAGGACCTTTACTGTTTAATATTTACGTAAATCAAATTGGAGCACTATCTCTTGCATCTCGAGTGTATCAATATGCAGATGAAACAGCCCTGGTACTAGAACATAGCGATGAAACAAGCGCACTTTCAACTTTTCAGAAAGATATCGAATTATTAATGACATGGTTTTCTAACAATCATATTTTTGTTAATTCTAGTAAAACTAAGTTGATGTGCTTTCATAGTCCGTACAAACATGTTAACTTGTCGACTCCACTGTTTCTTCATTCAGATAGATGCAAAACTTGTAGCTGCGTACCTTTAGATTATGTTCTAACAACCAAATATTTAGGAATTCATCCGGATGTAAATCTTTTATAGAATGATAATGTAGAATATATTATCAAAAAATGAGAACCGTATCAGCCTATTTGTACAGGTTACGTAGTGTTTCGAACGTTTCTCTGAGAAAGAGGGTATATAACGCACTGGGTGAGTCTATCCTACGTTATGGAATCTCGCTATACGGAATGTGTTCCAACTATAAAAAATCTAAAATCGATAATATCTTCTATAAAATTGCTTGTAATATCACATATGGGACAATGTACGAAGAAGTAGAGAAAAATAAGAAATTGAATGCAGCGGGAGTGTTAACTACTGAGAGATTGCACTGTTATGTAATTTTAGTGAAACATTACTTCAGGAGTGATTTTAAAATTCCTTTAACAAAGGAACGAATTTTGAAGCGAACAGAAAAGTTCTTCTTCCTAGAATTTATACTAAATAGGGAAAGAATGCAAGGTCATACAATGTTCCTTTTTATTTTAATAAGTTACCAGAAGAGCTTCATAACCTGGATTCCCTAAAAAGACTAAAACAAGACCTGAGAGAATGGTGCTGCCAGACGATAGGTGACTGAAATGGACCACGTTTTTCCCTTGTTCTCTTGTCGGGTATAGTTCTCTTTGTTTTGGGTTTGTTTAGTTACATGCAAAAAATGCATGCTTTGTTATAACTATGTAAGCAACCTGTTGGACGCCAGGTCCCGCCGACAAGCATACCCATGCTTTTGCGGGCCGGTCTATGTACTGTGTTGAAAACGGGACAATAAAATATTTATTATTATTATACTCAGATGTCAGGTGCTCACAAATCAGCATAATAGACCGAATGGTCAAGGAGAAACCGCGAATGCAAGCAGGCTGCCGTGGGCACCCTAGAACGGTAAGGCTTTCGAACATATGAAGGCATTCTTTCAGAAACTCCTTGTGAACAGAGCCTTCGTGCATTGCAGACACATATGCACTCTTCCCGCGTTTCTGTGAGCTGCTCAAGCTATCAAAAAGACGATCCATTTTTTTCAATAAACCGGGCCGTGTGGATAGCTTCAACTGGCAGTTGCTGGAAAGTTACCATGGCAAACATTGCAGCAGCACAGTGATTACTAAATATTTGCGCTGCTAGTTTCACTGACATTTTGGAGGCAAAAGTCAAAATAAAATGCTTCTTACTGAGCCTTGGCTTGGATCGGATTTCAAGCTGTTTGTCTTTTTCGTAAGCTTCCCTGAGGAAAGAGCTTCTCAACGTGTGGTCCCCAACTTGAAAATTGTACTTGAAGAACATATTTCGTAAGCACTTCAGCAGATGTGGAACATCAAATAGAAAAAAAAGTGGCTTCTCATTCACAGTTACGTAGGGCTTATCAGGGGTAACAAGGCCATTAAAAACAGCAACATTTTGCTTGCCTTTGTCACATACGACAGCTACTGGCTCCAGGCCTGCTTTCACAAGCAAATTGTGGCACTGGAAAAGAAGGTCACGCAAAATGTTGGCAGGTGTTCCCCCATGAGCAAAAAAATAGCCAAGTGGCTGCTTCCATGGCGTGCGAATGCCTTTAGTCATAAACACAAGAGCTTTGTTTGCAAGGTTATGGCCTCTTCCAGTGTTACTTTCTTCGAGCCCTTCAAACCTGTCCACAGAGGGGTTGTACGAAAGGTCTTTCGTGACGTGCATCTCGTCAAAGGCAATAATGCATGGCTTATCTTCTGGTGAAAAAGAAGCTGCAAGTCTTTTGACTAGTTCGAAAACTTCTGGGTAAAAACCAACCCTCAGGGGAACACGCTGAAGCCAAAGCTGTAGCGACTTAACGGATGGGAGTTTCAACAATTGCCTACAGTACCGGTAACCCTTAGGGCTGTGAAAGTACAAGCCCAAGGCAAAGGCTTTGTTCTGGCTGCACCACCGCCTACCGAACCTGCTCGCATTGGTCATCTTCAGCTGAGCTCCCACAAGGGCAGCAACGGCTGGAGTGACAAGGCTACGTACACTTTCAACTATCTCAGTGACAGTCAGCATATGACGCCGTCGCTGCAGTCGTTGCTGGAGTCTCTTGTTATGTTTCCGAAGCTGTCGAAGTCTGGCCCTCAACACGTCCATCTTCCCCTTGCCCTCGGTGCGGGTGGCACAGGACCCTGGGAAGGGAAAGCAAAAGCAATTATGAAACATTTCGAGAAATAATGAAATAAACTATGTGCCTCCACTGTAGAAAATGTGGAAGTACAAGTAAACTTTGTGCATCATGACGGACACCTACGTTGGTGAGGAACCGCAGAAATCGAAGACACCGACGCATCATAATCGGTAGGTGAAGGTTCAGGTGCCCACACATCGTTTCCTCCAGACGGCGGGCCATGTCCATCCATCGCGCCTTGCATCGCGTATGTGTGATCCACTACAAGAAACAAAACAAAGGAAACAAAGTGACAGAGTGGTTGCAAAAAGCTGAACCAACTATGACTGGTCAAGTACTACACAACAAAGTAATCTTCAAAGACAGTCCTAAACAACACACACTATGAAAACTTACCATGAACTCTGGTTGGAGGGCTAGTCTTCGTGCCAGAGGTCAGAGCCGTGAGGCTGCTCCCCACATCTGCAAAGCAATGACGAGGCAATTAAAAAATCTGTCAAAAACATCTGTCATTGTAATGTTTCAGGAAATTCCTGCGGCATGTGACAAGCTGTAGCCCGTTGCAACCTAAGAACGAAGGGCGAGGGTAGGACGGGCCGGGGAGGAAGAAGCGGACGGAACGCTGGAGAAGAGAGAGGAAAACCTCCTTCTCTCTTTAGCGTTCCGTCTGCTTCCTCCTCCCCGGCCCGTATTACCCTCGCCCATCGTTCTCAGGTTGCAGCGGACTATAGACTAAAAACATGGTCATACATGTTTTACATGTTTCCCAAAGATGGCTACGACACGACAGTCCGAAATATATAAGAAACAAGGCCTGCAACACTTCTCCGCCAATATGCAATTGCTTTTACCTTCTGTAGTGTGGTGCGTGTGACACCTTGATGATGTGGGCCCATCGGTGCTACTGCTGCTGGCCAGTGTGGGCTCGCCCTCGCTAGTCAATTGGCCAGGGCTGCTGCTCTGGACGGCATCTCCGGCACCTATGCAAAGTTAAGCCCACACGTTATGTACACTAAAAAAGTTCCCTGTATCTGCATGTAAACTACTTTTTGAATAAGCTCATCTTTTCAAAGTTGGTCAAAAGACCAGCTTTTCAGAGAGCTGCGTGTAGTGAAGATATTTGATCACTATGCTTTCAGACTTAGCATAAAGTATACACAGGAATGTCGCGAGTTAAACAGTTTTTTATTGTCATTATCATTACTTCAAAAAAAAGCTGCAACATATTCCACCCGTCACTCCAACGTTTGGGCAGTAGAAACGTCACGAACAGATTATGGCCTCCAAATGATTAAAATAACCTTGCCAACATTACTGAACACTCTTATGGGCTCTAATTTTGATGCCGAATCTTCCAATATGTGTGCGCTTAAAGGAGCTGTGCAACAATTTTTGTACTGTGCACAAATACCGCTTAAAACGGATCCCTAACGTTAATGACCTATGAAACACGCGTTCGTTTTTCACCCCACGCAATAGAAGTCCCAGAAAAAAATTTAAGAAAAGCGAGCAGCGTTCACCCCCTCAACTCGCAGCTAGAACAAGCGGCCACGTGATCTGGAGCCGATTATATGCCGCCAGTGTTGATCATAGCCACGCGCTGGGGTTGGCAAAGCGCAGGGCACGCGCTGAGTTCCAGACATTGTTATGGCTCGGCTGTTGTCGTCGTTGCAGCGATTGGACACGGGTCACAACCCGAATGCTTCTCGAGCTAGCAATTGTCACGAGCCCGAGTCGAGTGCCCACGCAATGCTCGGGTCCAATCTATGAGCCACATTCAAATATCGTCACTTGGGTGTACTGCGATCCCCGAGTTACGTCATCAAATTTTGCAAAGGAGAGATTGAATGAAAATGATCGCTTTTGTCCTTGAAATTACACCGCAACAAAGGAGTTTCTCGGGCAATGGCGTTGCGTGTGAGTATCCTTGAGTCCCAGGTGTGCCAGTAAGCTCGTGTAGAGAGAAAAACATTCCAATTGAATATCGTTGCACAGCTCCTTTAAGGATTATTTTCTTTCTAATTAAACAATCCTTACTGCTGTTGATTAGCTAGAAGATTTTTGCTTTTGTTCTTGTTTCGTTAATTTTTTGTTGCTAAGTATTTTGTATTATATAAATTCTTGTGTATGACTTCCCCAATGCTGTGTACCTGTGGGAGGCTGAGGACCAGTCAAGCTGCTTGCACAGCTTTTTTTCTCAGCTCCCACCATACTTGTATGGTAAAATAAAGTCATTATTATTCTTAGTAATAATGAAAACAATATTTCGTGCTCACCCTCAGTGGTCAGATATGCTGGTATTGCATCACGACGCAGCCTTCCTCGGTAAAGAAATGCAGAGGGTTTGAAGTGCCTGGAGCATACCGCCCGTTCCCGCAGCTGCTGTGGTGTCTTGTTCTGTAGGCTTCTGTTCCGGCAGACCTCAACCCAGACCCTCCGCCTGAATGTGAAGCAGTGTATTACTTTACATACCCTTGGCTAAAGTGGACATTTAAGAAAGAAAAGATTACACAATAATGTTAGCGATAAACTAGTCACATCATTGTACTTGGTCTCCCGTCTGGGTCCAGCGAACGCCATAAACGCGGAGCACACCTCTGTACCCGTGAGGTTAGATAGGTTCACAACGCAGACGATTACATTACTAGATTCCCGAGCACGACATCCACAGCAAGTAGACCTGATAGTTGCCAGCACGTTAGAGGGACGACACCAAACACATTTCAAACAGAAAGGACGTTTTAGTGTTATTCACACCATATTATAAAAGTTCGTTAAAACTAAAATGTTCAGTCATTGTTTCTTATTAGGTTTTTGGGGTCACGCAGCCGTTCAGCAGAGGTCAAGCAAAGCCGCCACTAATATATAAGATTAGTTTCGTCTCGCGAAGCTTGCAACGGAGACTGGGCCCAAAAAAGCTCGATCAACGGGTGCTTATTACTAAATCAGCATGCATAAGGGCCCATAGAAGAGGTCAAGAGCTTACCAGACATCAACGGACAACCGACATCAGGACATCACACATAGTTGCAGCGGACACAGCTGCTACAAGCTTCACCTTGCAGCGTCTACAGGAAAACGATGGAGTGTGATGCCAGCGGTGCAGTCATCACTTGGGCATCGCGCTACCGCGCAGCGCCTCTTTACATGGAACGGGCGCTTCGTCCCGACGACAGAGCTTTGAACGCGCCCGTCCGGCGCTCGACGACAAAAGCAACAGAACGGCGCAATAGGATTCAACTAGTACAGACCGTTCGTGGGAAAACTGAAGACCACGAAGTCGTTTTAAACTATTGCAAAAAGTGAAAGTTCGACGGGAGCTACAGAAATGTAGGCACACTGGTGAACGCAAACAATGCAAACACGAGGCGTGTCAGGACTGCGAACTTCTGCCGACGGCGAAAAATAGGGACGTTGTAGATGTCGCAACAAGTATGCACACCATAATACATATTGAACATAACCTGAAAAATTCCCCACTCTAAACATGTTTAAACTAATTTATTATTAATAAATAATACTTTGATTTAAAGTCAACTATATAAGACACTGAAAATGTGTCTTTAATATTTTATCAGCTTAGTGTTTGGCCGCGCAAAACATAGTCGCGCTACGGTAGCGCGGCCTCCAGGGTGATGGCGCTAACGATTGGTTTTGGGCCGCTTTTTTGCTCCACTTTCGCGACCTATATGAATTGATTTTGACGGTAACACGGAATTATAGCGTACCCGCGTAGTGTAAAAGGATGTTAAATCGCTTGCCACCAGGTGGCAGGGTCAAGCAGAGTAATCACAAGTAGCTAGGCTAGGTGGCGCTAGGTACCGCCCAATTCATGTTTTACAAAAAATATTTTCATTTTCTAACGCCACAAATATGTTTCCTTTTCTTTGGGAATCTCTAACACGTGTAGACACTTACGCACACTACAAGCATCCGGTGAACATACATCGAGCGCATACACAGGCATCGCACATACAAACATCAATACAACAGCACACTACCCCGATCACTACTCCCGAGCCCTGCGTTTCCTTCTTTTATACTGGTCGTTTTGAAAGTGCGGAATTTTTCGGTGACTCCCTAAGCAATAAAAAATATTCCGAACATGTTCATTTTTTCCCAGCAATGTCATACATCTGAGACTATTTTTAATGGCTCAGGGGATGAATCTCTTATTAAAAAGAAAACGCTCGATCATGCCGTAATTATTTGAAAGCCAATAAATCGGGCCGTTCCAATATGGTTCCAAGCCATGAGTTTGTTTTCTCGCACGGCCCTTCGTAGCCAGTACTTATACTGTAGTGTTTGTTTTTCTATTTGTGCGGTTCGCGCACGGCTGCAATGCCGTCTTGAATTAATCTTTGTAGAGCGGATATTCACTCAGCAGGAAGTGATACTTCACGGGCAGAGAAATCGCTTTTCGATCAACTTGAACGCAGTCAAAGCCGCGACTTGCGGCAACTGTTAAGTGTACGGAGCTACGGCGTTGCGAGCTCGAAAACTTCTAGCGCTCATCCTAGCGCGCCACTTGGAGGGCAGTTTCTACAGGAACCGTAATATATTTAAACAGTAAAATAAAAGATAGCGTTTTTTTTTTCGATTTTACCTTTTTTGTTTTTATGCTAAACTTCCATTGTAAAATACGTGCTTTCCGTCATACTTTCGCACTGGTCAGTCTTTTCCCCAGAGCGCAATCGCTCTGGGGGCCGACAGTCAGATTGGCCACTGTACGATAGGAGCTTACCGTTCAGACCAGCGTTCCAACATGACTATTCACACGTCGATCGACTGCACCTAATCCCTCAAGTGGTTTTAAACTCTTTAATGTAAAGCGGAATGCCATCCTGCGACACTCCGCCCCCTCCGATCACGGCCCGACCAGCGGCATCAATGCCCGACAGTTTACGTCATCTCATCTTGTTGTTACTCCGCTGATACGCGAACACACGGTCACATCGGCGATAATTCCAATCTTCTGTTCACAACCCACAACACTGCCATCACGATGTCGCTGACACGCAGAAATACAGAACCACGTTGACGATGTTGCTGACACGCAGTGATACAGAATCACGTTGAACGCCGGTTGGCACTTGGCACGGGACAGCAGAACCGAACTCAGCACGGAAGGCACCCAGGCAGCCGGCAATGAAAACCTGCCTTCCTTAGACGCAGTTCCCGCGATTTCCATAACGTCGAAAACGTCGACACAGTTCCTCGTGGTCTCGCTGCTGTAGTTCCGCGTGTGTCCCGCTAATCGGAGACGGCCGTCTTACCCAGTGTATGTAGCGCTGCTGGCACTGTGCGGAACTTCGCTGTTTCTAGCGGCTTCGTTAGCTCGTTTGATAAAATTAGTGGTAAAAACGTCAATGCAACCGAAATGTTCTGCACGTTTGGACTAGAAGACGGAATTACATGCGGCCTTCGCTGCCGCTGAAGCTCAATCAACTCAACACC